AAAAAAAAAAAAAAAAAAAAACATTTATGGAAATCATAGAACAAAAAAAAATTACAATTAAAATATTCAATTCCCCTTAACTTTTATTCTTTATTTCTTAAATGCTCCTTGTAAATATAATATAAATAACATAAAAAATATTTGTATTGTAAAAAAGAAAAAAGTATATTGTGGTGACGATCATGATGAATTTTAATTTTAATTTAAATATATGTATTGTGTCATAAACATAAGAAATCAAAATACCGCAGGGGATAGTGAAGAATATCACAGGTGGAATTTCCTATGAAAGAGTTGATGTTAGTTTATGATATCACGACCTACTATTATATATATCAGATCTTTTTTATTTATGTAATAAATAACCATTCTTGTATGAATAATCAATTTAAATATGGACGTTCATGTGACTTTTTAAAATATTCGAAATGGAGATGGGATTCCGGCGTAAAGACGATTTAGATAAATTAAATAATGTATAAATATGTCTTAAAAAGGCAATCGGTTATAAGTGGAAAGAAATGGAAAGAAATGGAAAGGAACGGATGGTACAAAATTACAGTACAAAATGCAAATGCAAAATGATAAGGACAAAAAAAAACAATGAATAAAAAAAAAAAAAACGAAGCAATGCAGTGTAATATGTAACAAATGTGATTTGATAGATTGACGAATTATTTTTTAAATACGCGTAAAAGAATTCATGATTAGAATTGATCGACAAAAGAAAGTTTAAGGTTCGTTCTACGATTCGACCCTAACTCCACATTTTAGTTTATAAAGGGGTGGGGGAAATTAAAATAATTGTGATAATTGTTAGGTATGACAAATTGAAATTCCCCGGCACATGAATTTTTGAATGTCAATTAAAATAACTTAAAATATACAAAATAATAATTCCAAAATTTTTTTCAAATATTTTTTTTTCTTTTTTTCTTATCGCGTGGAAGCGAATTCGTTATTTGGTGATGCAAAAGTTTACAAATTATGACATTTATTAAAAATAAAAATATGTTTAAATACACAACAATAAAGGGATCAATGAATTATACTATAAAAGTAATATTTAATAATACCATAAAGCGCGAAAAAATACCCTGAATTTCCGTGACACATTTAAAGGAGTGGGAATCGAGAATTTGTTTGATAATGAATGTGTAATCGATTTAAATGATAAAACGATGATATACAAAAACACAAATAACGCGAATCCTTGTCATTAAATAAATCATAAATAATAATCAATAACTTTTCGAAATAATAATATTATTATCGTCAAAAAGTCAAAAACTTTTGAATTTCTAAAAATTGAATATTTTAAATAATTCGGTAATATTTAGTTTTAAGAATTTAAAATCTAATAATGGAAGAAATTCTTTATATCCCTCAAATTCACTCATGGTAAATAATAAATAAATATTGTATGCAAGATAATGTTTTATTTTCGCGCTCTGCAGGCTCTGCAGCAAAAATCATGCCACAATAAGTGTAAATTATTATTTTTAGAAATTTTAGAACTTTAGAACATTTTGAACTTAAAAGATTCAACTTGAACAATGAAAATAAGAAAACCCTTATAATTTTGTGCAAGTATTTACAATTTGTATAACGATATAATAATATATTTATTTATATATATTATACAATAGTAATGTAATATTAGTAATTAGGTATGATAAAATTTACCTAATTTATACATATTTTTATATATTCAATATTTTAACATATATAATTTTTAACAAACAAATGATTTACATCACAATCTCAATTGTATATATAAAAATAAAATAAAAATAAAATAAAAATAAAAATAAAAATAAAAAATAAAAATAAATCAACAAAAAAAAAAATCTTGGCTTTCATACCAACATAAAATTTTTTACATTTTGACATTTAAAGAATTCCATAAATCAATTCTGTCCTTCCAAAATATTAAATTCAATGACTCTATATTTTTACTATTATTACTAAATAAAGCCAATTAATTTAATTACCCTGACAGAATTTTCTTCTGATTTCCGTTATTTACTTTTTCTTTGGAATTGGAACGATTCCTACAATTTCCTTTATTGTTGTTTCTCAATGTGTTAATTGTAATGTGTGTAATTTGTACTATGTGTGTAATGTGTGTGTGTGTGAATTTCCCCAATTTTTATACATTAAGGCACGTTTTACTAAATTATTCCATAATAATGAAAACCTGTTTTAAGAAATATTTATTTTTATTTATTTTTTTTTTTTTATTTATTTATAATTTTTTTTTTTTCGGCTAATTTTGTAAATTATTTATTATTAACTGCGCCTTATCTTCCAAATAAATTTCTTTCATCCTTTCATAACTTTAACAAATTAAGTTAAGTAAACGGTTAATTTATTTGAACAATGATTCGGTTATTATTTTCCCTTTTTTTTTTTTTATTACTGCGCAAATCATTCGTCATGTTTTTGTAATTTGTTTATATTTTAATAATTTTAATAATTTTAAAACGAGGGGCGGAACAAAAGAACTTCCGAAGAATTTTTGCTTTGTAAAAAAATTAAGGAGTATGAAAATAATCATGGACTTTTAACTTAACCTAGTCATCTAGTTATAAGATAAACTTAATAATATCATGTGACTTTTAACTTTTATGGGAATTTTTCCCAACTTTATCATCATTACTATATAAAGTATAAATTAGAAAGGAAATCCTCCTCCACCACTAAAATTTCCTCTTCCAAATTCTTGAAATATTGGTGGTTTCACTTTAGAAGGTATTTGTTGTTTAACTTTTGGTGCTTCTTGACCATGTGGTAATAATTCATCATTATCTGGTCCGGCAATCGGTCGATGTCCATAATGATCAGGACGTGTTTGATCATCAGGTACAATAGGATCAAATCGTGCTCCAGGAGGTATGCTTCCTTGAGGTAATCTTAATTGTTGTGTTTGGTCATCGTTTTGTTGGATTTCTTGGCTTTCTGAACGAAATCCTGGATGTTGTGGTCCCATTATCATACCTCCTCTTTCTATTTCATCTCGTCTTGTTGGATCTGTAATTGATTCAAGTGGATTTTTTCTTGTATCAGTTTCTTTCGAGTTTGATGGTTGATTTGATTTATCTTTTTCTCCTAATGGAAAACTCATTTTTTTTGGGGAAAAAAAAAAAACATTCTGAGAATTCTGAGAATGTTGATGGATTTATAATTAAAAAAAAATTCAAACCGACATCATAATGATCAAATGATTTACATACTCATGTGTGGCGTCCGAAATTAAAATGAACTTTTTTTAGACATTTTATAGTAGACATATTTTTATTGATTTATTAGGAAATGATAATTTCAATAATTTCAATTTTTGTAGAATAAAGAGAATTTCAATTAATCTTCAATTTTTGTAAAAATAAAGAAAAAATTTATAGTAGACATATTTTTATTGATTTTATTAGGAAGTGATAATTTCAATAATTTCAATTTTTGTAGAATAAAGAGAATTTCAATTAATCTTCAATTTTTGTGAAAATAAAGAAAAAATTTATAGTAGACATATTTTTATTGATTTATTAGGAAGTGATAATTTCAATAATTTCAATTTTCGTAGAATAAAGAGAATTTCAATTAATCTTCAATTTTTGTAAAAATAAAGAAAATTTATAGTAGACATATTTTTATTGATTTATTAGGAAGTGATAATTTCAATAATTTCAATTTTGTAGAATAAAGAGAATTTCAAATAAATTAAATAATTTTCAATTTTTGTTAAAATAAAGAGAATTTCAAATAATTTTCAATTTTTTGTAAATTTTTTTTAGATCATAACCTTTTTTAAAAAAATTTCATATGTTATTTTAAATCAATCATATTTTTGAAAATCGGTTTATCAATAATAATCAATAATAAATTAAAATTTGGAAAATTTAAAAGATCTTTTTTAATTCGTTAATTCGTTAATGTAATTCCCTTCCAAAATTTCAGTTTATACTGGTGTAACCTAACCAGTTATGTACAATAAAAAAAAAATTTTTTTTTCGATAATCAAAAAAAATAAATCAAAATCAGTTTTTTTTTTTTTAAATAATAATAATTAAAATTTATATATATAAAAAAAAAAAATGTTTCTTCTTTCACATAGAGTACAACGAACTATTATAACGAACTCTTTCAATACATTAACACGAATATTTAAACCACAGGAAGTAAGTTTTTTCTTTTTTTTAAAAAAAATTCTTCCAAGTTTTTACAATTTTTAAGCCATTTTATTAACCAATTAATAAATTATTCTTTAATATATATATAAAGTTACAAATTTCTTTTATTAATTTTCGTCAATTAACTACAATTAAAAAAAAGAAGGATCAGGATTCATCTCAAAAAGATTCAGATAAAAAGTATAAACCTCCCGCTTTAGGAGTTAACCCTGCTTATGATGAAGCACTTAAATATATTTATGAGGATAAAGCACAAAAATATGAAGAAATACGATTAATTGATATAATGATAGAAAAATTAATGAAAAATAGAAGAAAGTAGGTTCGTGATAATAAAATTTATTAAAAGGAAGAAGTAGTTCGGATAATGTTTTAACCCCACTATCAAAAATAACTTTAAAAAATTCATTATTCTAATAATAATTTTTATAAGTGAACAATTTGATCAAGAATTAAATGAACTTAAAAAGAAGAAATATAATTTACAAGTTTTAGCCGAAATAAATGATCCAGAAGTTCGATGGAATTTTAAAAATGGTAAAAGTAAGTTTTACTTTTATTTTAGTTTTGGTTTGATTTGATTTTGGTTTGGTTTATATTTTATATTTTTACTGATTTTAAATTTATAGTTGATATGAGTATACCTGTTTATCGTCATTTACGAGAGAAATATTGGAGAAAAGAACCTCTTCATAAATTGGTAATTAATAATTTACTTGTGATGAATTAGAATATCTTTTTGAAGTTGTTAAAAAAGTATCTCTTATTTAGATGCAACGAATAACACAAATGTATGTTGTTCCTGATGTATTCCCTACCTTGTTACCTATGATTGATCTTGAATTTAAATTTAAAAATGATATAATTGAGCCCGGTGTTTTTCTATTCCCCGCTCAAGTGAGTTATATAAATATATAATATATATAAACACATAAATACATACATATATGTTTAAATTTTTTCCCCTTTTCAATTAAGACAAGAAAAGAACCTACAGTGATTCTAAACAATTTTCACGAAGAAACACTTTTATACACACTTATCATGGTTGATCCAGATATGCCTGATGCATTGAATAAAACCTATCAAACAGAATGGCATTGGCTAATAACTAATATTCCTCTTAATGTAACAAAATCCGATATTTCTGGTGGTGAAGTAATTTTACCTTATATTCCTCCTCATCCACCTAAAGGAACAAAATATCATCGTTATACTTTAGCTATTTTAGAACAACCTAATAATCAAAAAATTATAATACCTGAAAATATGGGTCGTGTTAAGGATGTTAGAGAATTTATGAGTGATTATAATTTAAAGTTACGTGGTGCTTCTTTTTTCCGTGAAGTTTGGGATGAAGAAGTTAGCAAAATTTATGCTAATATTTTAGGTAATATTTAGAAGGAATTAAGTAATTTCAATTTTTTGCGTATTTAATTTATCTTTATAATATATATATATATATATATTTATTTATTTAGGTATCCATGAACCAAAATATGGTAGACAACCAAAGGTTGATAAATACTTGGATGAAACTGGATCGAAACAACAAAAATACACAAATCTTTAGAATAAATCATATAATTTATTTATCAAAATAAAGCAAGCATTTTTAAAAAGAAATACATATATTTTTTTATTGTTGCCTTAAGTTATATATAACTAAATTAAACAGTAATATTAAAGTTTGATTCAACAATATTCTTTTTTCATACTTACTAGAGGGGCGGTTGAATACAAACTAATTTACTGATAGGACATATGTAATTGATACATTTTATTAACGGAAATTATATCTATCAATAATCTATTTTCCAAATAATCACATACATCCTTATATTAACAATATAAAAATAAAATGATGGGATTATTTGCTATAAATACATGTGCCTTTTGATTATGACAAGCTTAACAGAACTGATTATACAAACGTCAAGAAAAAAAAATATAAAGATTATTATAGATAAGAGAAACTCTTACCAAAAAAAAAGTTTTAATATATGAAGCACACATTACCTTCCATCGATTGTTACAAACTATACATGTGACAAATGTTGTCATAGGTTCATCAGCACTTCGAGTCTGATGAATATTTATAAATTAATTTCGACTTAATTTCAACCTTTTGATTACAAAAAAAAAATCACAAATCACACTCACCTGCATTTGAAAATAAGTTGTTTTTCTTTCTCCACACTAAATATATAATTGTTTGATTATTATTAAATGAAAAAAATCTAAATCTGGTCCTCCAATTATAATGATGGTACTGACCTTTCCGCAACGAAACATGTTTGTTTCTGCTTGTGTTGGTCCCGCACCTCTTGCCTTGAAAAGGTTTGCTTGTTGAATTTCCCGATCTCGGGCTTTCTTTTCCTCAGATGCCATTTCCTTTTGTTTCGGGTATAATTTACGATTATTAAATGAAGAGGCATATATATATATAAAAAAGACTTTTATATAAAATATTATTTACTTCTTTAGTCATAACGCAAAATTTCTGAACTGTAATGTCTCCAGATACAACACCCTTTCTAAGACCTGGATTCTTTTTATCCTTGAGATTGGAAATCATACCACGCAATTTATCACGATATTGTTTTTCAGGTTCTCCATCAAATTGATCGAGAACCATTTGCTCTATTTTTTTAGCACGATTAAGAATTATGTCAATTCCTAAAAATTAAACAAAAAGTTAATAAAATACTTAGTAATTTACAAATATCAAATAAGTAATTTCTTATTACCATTGTTTGAATCAAATGCCAATGAATCATATAATAATTCTATACATTTATCACGTGTACTATCTCCTGTGCTATACCCGACATTATCTTTTTTGAAAGATCGGTCACCCTTATTATTAATAACTCTATCGTTTTCTAATTTTGGAGTACTCGGTGATGGTGAACTATTTTCACTAAAAGAATTCTCAAGTTTAGCCAAACTTGGGGAAGGGGTACTTATTTCTCCTTGAGAATTTTCACGCTTAATCTTGATCGAAGATCTATCGATAGGTTGTGGTTTAACAAAGCCACCATCGTCAACTTTGACAGTGTCAGAATTGGTTTTTGGTGAATAAATTGATTTTGATGGATCACTTTGTTGAACTGCAGTTTTCCATTTTTTAACAATATCTTTAGCGAGTCTTGCAATATCTGCGTTAGGGTGTGAACGTTGTTTTCCAATAAAGACTCCAATATCTGTCTTCTATTATCCGATTAATTATAATCGGAAATAACATATTAATAACTTTCATTATTTTTAAACATCTAAAAAATAACTAAAAGCTTACTTTCAACAACTCTTTTGTTGCAACTACATCATCGTTGAATTGCTTCATTATTCCAAGGATAGCCTATATTATAAATATGAAATATCTATATTAAAGACTTATACTTAAATTTTTGAAATATGAAAAATTAATTTAGGAAAAAACAAAAAGCTTTTCCTAGATTTCATATTAACAGTTAATCATTTACAGAGGTCTTCTCTTCGCTGATCGCTTTGGCTAACGATTTCTTTAATTGTACTACTTCGTCGATATTCATGGTAATTCAAAATAACTTTTTGAAAGGAAAAGTTCGTAATAAATATTTATGAGACCAAAAAAAAGAAGGTGAGAGAAAGAAATTGTAGCAGCTTTTTTTGAACCGTTATTAAGAACATAATGATCTACGTTTTAATTTATATTTATTTCTTGTATTACGTATATTACATAAGACTTCATTTTGATATTTTGTACATAGCATTCAGGGATTACAGCCAAAACGGGATAAAACTCGGTTGTAGCGTGTATAATTAATAAAATTTTCAAGATAATCTATTATTTTATATAAATTGGTTTTAAAAATTTTCGATTTGTTAAAAAAATGCCCAAGAAAAGTAAACATAAAAAAAAGGCGCAACAAGAAGACTTTAAAGTAAGATTATAAAATACTAAAAGTTTTATAATATCAATGATTTATTCTTATTTTTTAACTTGAGAAGAAACCGAAATTGAAAGTTGGAAAAAAGAAACAACAAGCTAGTAATTTTACGGATACTTCTTTTAAATCGCGAGGTATACTTTATTATCTTTTTCAAGTTGTTTCATATTTCTTTATTGAATCAATTTAAATTTTAATAAATAAATATATTTATAGCAATATCTTTGCCAAGTCAAAGTATTACCGAAGATAAATCGAATGAAATAACAAATTCCAGAAATTTAACTTTAAATGAACTATTGACACAATTAAAACATTATAATTCTGGAATGCGAAAAGGTTTGCTTTACTCAATGTTATTTATAGTTTACTTTGCAAATAAATCTATTAAGGCTTTAACTCTTTATTTATTTTTTTTTTTTAAAAAAAAAAGATGCTATCATAGGTTTAAAGGATTTTTTTCGCGTTAATCCGCATATTTTATCACAATCTTTATCCTTAGTTGTGAATTCTCTTTTGCGATTGTTAATTGATGATGTAAGACATACTTAATAATTTGTTTTTTAAAAAAAAGTCGCGGCACATTAAATTAATTTTCAATTTTTTTTTTATAGAATAAATTTGTGAGAACGACATTGTTGTCATTTTTTACAGAGTTTTTTATACCCATGGAAAAAGTAAGTTACTTATACTCTCTTTAATTAGGTTTATAATACCTTATCATTCGAAGTTTATGTTTTCAAACATGTCTTGTAGTCGGAACTGAGACCTTTCCTTCCAATCCTAATTATATATACTTGTTCGGCAATTACACATATTTATGAAGATATACGTGCCGATTCAATCAAGTTTATGGAATTATGGCTTAATATTGCACCCGATATCATCGTAGATGGATTTTGGCAACGGGTAAATTCCTATAAATTTTTAATCTTTTAAATACATCTAATAAAAAGAGATTTTAATTTACAAGGTGGTACCTAATTATATTGGACTTTTAACGACTGATTCGAATACGATAGTTACCAATTCAGGTGATTAAAAAATTATATATAAATTTCATTTACTTATATTTTTTTAATTTAAATATATTAAATATTTTTCTTTTAGCATCCAGTATTGTTACACCTTTGACCAATTCACAAAATCAATTTTGGTCGCATGAAGTAAGTAAATAATTTTAATCTGTAATATATATGTATTTTTTTTCTTTTTCACGCTATTTCTTCATATTTACACTGAAACTAATTTTAAGTGTGTATCAGGTTAAAATTGAAATTTTATCGAGTTTCTATAAACTTTTAAAATATGGTTTAATTGATGATGATGATGATTCAATGTAATATACATGTGATTGTCTAATATATTTTTACGCATTTAACTTGGGCTAATTTATATAAAAATTTTTGGTATGATTATCAGGCAATTTAAACAAAATGTTTCAATTGATTGGGAACAAGTTCATGGAAAGGTTAGTTATTAAAATAATGTTTAAAAAAGAGTATAAGTATATATACATTAATTAATATATTTTAATATAGGTCGAACTTTTACCTCCACATCCGTTGAGATTATCTCTCCTACCACATTTGTCTCAATCAAAGTCAAAATATACTATGCAATTAAATCTGTTCAATAATTCATCATCCTTAATAGCAGAAAATAAAAATGAACGGATTAACATTAGCAAAATATTATCGCGGAATGAAACGAATAAGAATATAGAAGAAAATTTCGATGTTTCAACTGTCCAAGGTCGTTTATCTGGTGCAAAGGTTCGATTTATGTTAATTATTTACACTTGTGCGTATAGTTATTTTATTCTAAAGATTTTCTTTGAATTAGGATCTTTTAAGTGTCATAAACCCAATTCTCCTTGCGATTTGGTTAGATACCGCACCATCAATTCTCGGTACGATCTCAATTAATCAAAATTCTCACTCATTAAAAATAATCCATCTTGTACTAAAGATTATGGTCGTACTCTGGAGGTCAACGATAAGATATGAACTGATAAATCAGGTTTGTTACATAAAAAAGGGTTCTTATCATATATCCACATGTAACTTATTCATGATTCTATTCAAATAGGAATTTACGGACAAACAATGGATCGAGTCACAATTAAAGCAATTACTTAAACATTATGTAGTTTACTTTCCTTTCGGTGCTGAATCCATGAGTATTCATGATGAGAAGGTTTGTCGCTTAATTTTTCTTAGATATATTTTAATTGATTATCGTTAATAAAAAATTATTTATTTCGTATTATTTACGTTTAATTGTTATAACAATTGTGTTTATATAAATATTATTTAGGTTGAATCCACTTTGCAAGAAATGAATTTAATATTTTGCGAATTAACATCATTCTTTTTGAAAATATCCACGTTAAAAAATAAAGAAATGGATTCAAATAATGATAAAAAATCCTCTCATAAAAAAAGGAAAAGGGCTGAAGTTTCAAATTCTTCTGAATCTCAACCACTTTGGATAGAACAAGTTGTAGAATATATTTTACATGCTTTAGGTTTTGAGGTATTTAAATTATATTAATTATTTACATAATTTTATCAAATATTTAATAATCTTTTTATAATTTAGTCAAACAAAGCGCTAATGACATCATCAACTAGTGATTTCAAGGCTGATCATTTGAAAACTTTATTACCAACAATAAAGAGTTTACTCAATTGTTTAGAAGATGATAAGCAAGAATCTATTTTCAAGGTAACTCATTTTTAATAATGAGATTATCTAAACAAATCAAGAGTTAACTTTTAAATTTCTTTTAGGCAATTCTTGATTATTCAAAAAGATGTCGCTCTCAATCAACAAAAAGAATCTTTATAGATTTCATTTCGAAATTGTTGATGGTATTTATTTATTTTATTTTTTTTTCCTATCTTTTAACTCTTTTAATTTATTTTAACTATTTTTTTTCCCCCTCCCAGTTGCAAGAAACTTCACACTCTAAAGGTCTTTTTCGCATATATAATGACACTTCACTTGCTGAAGAAATTCAAACCTGGGCATTGAATTTACCTAAATTATTATGCGAATTGAAAACAAACAATATTGAAAGTATCGAAACGAGTCAGGTATATAATATATGATTATTTATGTATTTAAATTTTATTATATAAACATTAATGAATCTTCCTCAATCTAGAAAATTCTTCACGTTTTATGTGACTTTGCAAAAAGAAGTGGTAAAGGAATATTTAATGATGAGGTAATATGTTTGTCTCATTTTTACTATAAAACATTCTCGCGTGATAATTCAAAAATTATTTTTTCGCAGATTATGATACAAATTCAAACGGCACTAATCCCTTTCCTTCACGTGGACTTACCTAATAAAGGTGTGTGTGTGTTTATATATTAAAACTATAAGACTATGATTTTCAAAAATTGATTATCTTACAATAGAATCTTTACTTATTTCAGGACCACTCTTCGGACCTTTCATTTATTTACCACAAAATCTTCAACGAAAAACCATAGATTTCCTTTTCTATTGTCCAAAAATTATTGATAAAATGAAATATGCTTTGGAGAATGTTCTAAACAAAGAAGAGACCGAATCCATCAGAAATTATGCGATCTCTTTGTTATATAGGAAATTTTAATTTCATTATAAATTCTTATAAATTTATAAAAAAAAAATTTCAATAAAATTATATTAAATTCACTTAACGTTTATATGTATTTGTAAACGAAGAAAAAAAATTATTATACATGTTCTTATCTTATTTCTAAAAAAGTTCAACAATCATGAGCCTTTGCAATTATTATACATTAAACTTATTAAGCTCTATGTGAACTTTTCTTAACGCATATTATCTATGACATAAGGAAACAAGATTAAGAAAAAAAAAAAATGTTTAATGCTTTTAAAGTCCAAACAAGTGTTAATTATTATATAATATATCTTTTTGTAACCAGCCGTATAAATAACTATATACTGCCCAATTAACAATCATAATGAATTAAATGTACTGAATACTCTCTACATTCAGTCTTTTTCTAATATTTTCTCTTTCTTCTCTTTCTTCTCTTCAATTTTGCTAGCATCATTATTTTCTTCTTCGTTTGATGTTGAGCCCGATGTTCCATTTGTTGAAGGAGACGGCATCTTTTTCTTTTCTGATGATTTAGCTTTTTCAGCAATAATATTACAAAATGTTTTCACATTAGCATTAACCCATTGCACCACGATCGGTGTAAATATTCGAATTTGTGTTTTGCACCACTGAATAAACAGCTGACCATGTTGTTTCACAGATTCAGGTGCATATTTATGATATAATGGAACTACAAATATTATTTCAAGTGATGATAAGAATTCCGAAAAAAAAATCCAAGATGAAAGATAATGAGAAATAGATGTATTTCTTCTTTTTACCTGCATCCCTTTTAGTTTGTACCACTTTTTTAACAAATTTGCGGCAAACTAAAAACCAGAAAGGTACACTTACCGATCCTACAAATATTATTAATTTTAAATGAGAAAAAAGACATTTTAAAAATGTATAATAAAACGAAAATTAAACAATAGGCACGTTTAAACTTAACCTGATGGTGCAAATGGCATAGAGAAAATCCAAGATATTGGACTAAACCAATCTTGTGGAAGATAAAAAACTGGCGAGGATCGATACCATATTACCATAACAATTTGTATACCATTGGTAACCACCCATAAAAATGTAGTAAATTTGATTTCAAAAGATGTTTTTAAATAACCTAATGACGTTGCTGTATAATATTGGAAATACTCTCAGTATAATATATAATGAATTAAATTAAACTTATTATTGAAATAATATTACTGATTTTTTCTAATTCGCTCATTTTGCTATCCAATTTGCGTCTCAATTTGGCCCATTTAGCAAATTGATCCTATGATAAAAAAGTAGTAGATTAAATGTAATAATCGCGTATTATTTTATCAAAAAGGCCAAAATATAAATAAAAATTTCTAATAAATATATGTTCTAATACCTGAGAACTTGTTCTTGCTAAATCATGTTTAATAGTCAATATATCTCTCTTAGTTTTTCTCTGTTTTTGGACTCTCTCCCTTTCAAAAGCATTTAAATAAACGCCATATGCCTACAATTTAATAAAAAAAAAAGTTATTATCGTTCTATAATAATAATAATGATAGAGCACAGAACATACCAAACTCGCGATCTGCGAATATCCGAACCAAAGAATAAATTCCGTTATAAGGACAACTAATGCAATGGCAAGGGCTAAGGACATTTTACTATGAGTAGCATGGAAAATTTGGTGTTATAATAGTATTAAATATTAAATAGTAGAAAGCTTCGTTAATGACGCGCTAGGATATAAGGGATGCTTATAAAAAAAATTTTTTTTTTTTTGACAATAATCGGTCGGATAATTTACCCTGATTTGGTTAATTCGATGAAACAACGTTTTTATCGGGCCATAGCCCATAGGTTTAGTGCGACTAATAATAAAGGACTTTTTGGATCGCTTGAATTTATCTACTTTATTATTTGTGAATGACACTAACAGTCACGTGAATTTATGTATTATCACATGATAACGAATATGTTATACCTTCTAAGTTCTAACATCATTATTATCAATCAAATTCGAGAACCTTTAAATTGGATGTCCTGAACAAAGACATAACGAGTATAGCAGACTGACTATGTTATTATATGCAAAATATGACGATAATCACTCATTCTAGTTAGATTTTTTTGGAGATAAAACATTCCGTAATTCGTTTATTCGAACATCAGCCTTAGACAAAAAATGATTAAATGTTAACAATAGATCACAATATAAACCAAAGATATAATATTTGATTCATACCAATTGTTCCTCATTTTTTTTCGCTGGGTCAAAGGGAACGCTACAATTAACGATTCCTTCCAATGTAATATGCCAGCCGGGTCTTCTTTTAGCCAACTCTTCAGCAGTTTTATTAACTATTGATTTCCCATCGCCAGTAATCCAAGCACAATACCATCGATGTTCTAGTTCAGTATCAAACTTAAGATCAAGTGATACCATTATGTTATCATTAACATTGCTATCACTAGTATCCTCCGCAGTCTGTTTATTATTATCTTCATTATCCCCTTTGTCCTGTTGTTGGATTTCTCTCTGTTTTGCTATATTCCGATAATTAAATAATGCGCATTTACGAAAACAGAAAGGACACTTTAGCATATCTAAGCCGTCAATTAATTCATATTCCCATCTAAATAACGACAAACACCCCGCAGCTGCTAAAATGTCTCGTTCAACTGTCTTTGACTCTTGAGGCATCACAGAGATTATAGTTTCTATAAACTCCTCAGTCTGGTTGAAAAGGTCAGAATTTGCTATGCTTCAAATGAAACACTTAATCATTGAAAAAATGACTTACTAATTCTGTCTTTATAATCGGTAATTTGTCGTTTAGTTGTATTAAAGACAATGTACGTGCCTGAAATTCTTTCAAAATCTCTACATGGACGGAAAGTGGTATCTTGTATATATAATCTAAGTTGTAAATATACAACAAATTAAAAATTCGGTACAAAAATATATATTATTTCTGAATTAAAATTATTAAAATTTGACTTTCAAACCATCGCAATGACGCTCACGCCATGGACAAGTAATTGAGTGTGCACTGGTCAATCCTTTGTGATATTGTTCTATCAAACGCTCCTCTATAAAAGCAGAAAAAAAGGTTAGCAGATTAACTATTTCAAAAATAAATAAATAAAGTGTGTTATACCTAATTCAATATCGGGTACTATTTTCACTAACATACATTCACCACAATATTCACATTTGAGCCAATCTTCACCAATATTAATCCAGCCATATTTTGCGCATTCTACGGGACTTAAAAGATCCGGTTTAACAAACCAGGTTGAATCGTATAAAATATTAAGAATCATTAATTTATATCATTCTATTATTTTTTATAAATTGATTTTTAAAGGATATCATAAAAGTCGCAAGCCGACGCATAAAATCATTTTTATCTATTGGATTATATAATATTTTTGTTTTATCTGGTGAAGTAGATTCGTCATTTGGGGCGAGTTTGATCTGTTTTATTCTAGAAAAAGAATAAGAAAAAATCGAAAGAATAAATATAGCAGATAAAAAAACAATTTTTGGATACCTTGGTCCGGATGTTATTTCAGACTGACCAGATTTACTATGGTTTTTCGATTCTCCAGTAGTACTTTCAAGCAAAGCAGAAAATGCTCTTTTAGTGGCCTTTATTAACTCTTTATCTGCCATAATATAGTATTTACTTATCGAGTTATGACTGTATATACGTGTAAAGTCATGTGATCCGATTCAAATTAATGACGCGTTTTACAGTCAAACCTCTGTACCGAGATAATCTATAATAAAAAACCGCGTTGTATCGATATTGTATATAATTTCGCGATGTAACGTATACCGATACTTTTTCTTGGTGACTTGGTCCCTTTATAGTAGCATATATTAAGATGTACTGATATTTTAGCTACACTAGTATTAATTCGGGCCAGTACTATAAAGTTGGACCAAGTAAAAGATTTAATTTGAACCCTTGCGGTTTATTTTGCCGAAATTTGATTATTTTGGCCCATTAATCGGGTGGCATTTGCTCCGCATTATGAATTACTCGTAATATATTCAATGTATTGATATTTTTTTCTATCGGTATCAAAGGTCTGACTGTCCGCTAGTCTGATAATAGACGTGATTTACAGTAATTGTGTACCGATAATTCAATGTACCGATACTTTTTCCCTAAAACAACCTCTTCGGTACATAGAGGTTGGACTGTACCTGGGGACTATGCAAGAAAAATTATAATAATATGGAGTCCTAATAATTATAGAGAAAATAGTTCTCTTAATATCATGAAGTTGCGAGACTAATTTCACTTGAGCCTAGTTTCGAAATTTGCTTAATGTATACTCTTGGGAAAGTTGTGTTTTATCATCTATATCCATCTGTTATTTTTAATAAGTAAAAAACTCAGGTAGTCGTCATTGTGCTCAGCCATTAATGCCAACTAACTAATATACTGATATGTATAATACTCAAATTAAATTATGATGCGAAAACATTAAAAATTAAAGATTAATTATAATAAAATTGAGTTTATTATCAGTGATAAGAAAGAAAACTTCATTTTTTTATTGTAGGATTTAACATAAGCCACTTAAAAGATTGTGTTAATCATAATAAAAAAAAATTATGAAGAGTTACTCAATGATCAAATCGATTATCTTCTTATTTCATGATTAAAACCTATTAACAAAAATATTTAGTATTTAAGCCGGTTTTTTCGGCAATAATAAATCGATTAAAGTACATACTTGGCAAATTTTTTTGATCCCTTTTGTATTTTTTTCTGAACTTTAAGGACATTAAAGCGTACGGTCTTGGAAAGAGGTCTATTATAAGCCAAATAAATGACAAAATTTTTTTTTAATAGAAATTTAGTCATTTCCTATCAACTGTATAAATAATAGCGTATGTCCTAGCAAAGTCAATAACATTATAATAAATTTACTTACCGGCACTGTCCCATAGTCACCGTATCGCCGGGCTAAATTATCGACAAAAATATGTTAATAAAGAATAAAAAATTTCCAAAGTACCTCTAATAAATACCTGAACACCAATAAATGCTGGCGATAAATGAGCAGCCACATTCCTATGACGTTTTTCATAACGGTTGTACTTTTTAATATAATGCAAATATTCCCGACGGACAATGATAGTCCTTTTCATTTTTGTAGAAACCACAACTCCGTTCAAAATACGACCACGTATGGATACCATGCCAGCCCAGGGACATTTTTTGTCTATATAATGTCCCTCAATGGCCTCTTTTGGTGTCTTAAAACCGAGACCTACATCCTTATACCAGCGAGTATTCTTTTTCTTACTTTTACCCTTCGTAATTAATTTGGCACTTGTGAAAATATTGGGTTGTTTTTGAAAAGCCCTTTCGATCTGATTAAAATTTTATCATATAATATCAGTTACATTATTTATAACATTAGCATTATCCCACAAGCATTATCTCAATTTATGATTAAACGGTAAACAAGCATACTTGTTCAGACATGTTGCTTAAAAGTCCCTTAAGAACAGGCCACAGAACGATTTTGTAGAAAAAGATTGATCGAAAGAAGTTTTTTCTGATAATTATTTGAGAGTAATTTGCAATTTGATTGGATGATCAAAAAAATTGTACATCGCAATTTTGATTGGATGTTATTTGAGCTAAGATACTGCTATACAGTATAATTTTGACCAGAATTAAACTTAAGTACCAGAATTAAGGGTATTAATCGAAAGTAAAATTTTTATATCTAGCAAAATACCTGTCTTTTAAAGTAGTACACTTAAAAATGCAATGCTAGATGGTAATTTATTCTTTCAAGTTGAAGTACATTGGATATTCCAATTATAATTCAATCTGATTAAACTATTAATATAAGTTTTAAGTTTTAATTAAAATATTGATATAAAATTAAAAAATTTTATACAAAAATTATATATTGTATAAAAATTAATAAAAATCAAAAAAGAGATTTTTTTGAAAAAATTTTTTGCACCAATTTTATTATAAAATAACAATATAAGTTGTTTTAAAGTAAAGTTGCAGGTGAAATTTACAAATTTAAACAACTATTTAAATTGAAACTATTTAAACAGTTTTGCTAAAAAATATTTAAAAATAAAAATTGCAAAATATATTAAATATAACAAATTATGAAATTTTATTTAAACAATTTTATTATTATATAAATAATATAATAATTTTATTGTTTAATTTTTTTTTATTAACTATAATACATTTGTTAGTTTATTAAAACTAGTTTATTAAACAAAAAATACAAAATATTGCCAAATAAAAGTATTGCTATAATTCTAACATTATTAACTAATAAACTATCTGTTATATTTTAAAATATCTGATATGTATACTATCAGATAGACAGGTTGTATCAGTGAGTAGTAAATGTATAAATATCATATTCTTAGCTAAATGGCCTCACGTCTTTATTTTTGTTTCGTTTTTCTTGTCGCTTGGCAGGTCCCCTGTTAGGGTTATTGCCAGCCTTTTTATTACCTTTGGGAGGCATTTTAATAGTAAAATAAGAGATGTGTTAATACGAAGAGTAAAAATTTCTTCCGCAAAATTTTTGACCAAGGATCTACAAGAAAGAGTTGGCAGATCAGGATCTAAGTCACACTTTCGGCAGATTGGTCCATTTTTCAGGGGCTCAAAAAATTGTTTTTTGTAAATATCTCGGCATCCAGTAGTCCAATTTTGATGAAATATTTTTTAAATTGTAGAGCTAAATGAGAGCTACAAAATAAAAAAAAAGTTCATTAAAATTGAATTACTGGATGTTGAGATATTTACAAAAAACGATTTTTTGAGTTTCAGCAAAAAGGGGTGTTTTTGGCCAAAAGTCCATTATGACCTTTATATTAGATATCCGGGGTCCTGGTAAACTGATGTAAATATTAAAGACCTATTATATCCAATAGTCTAAAAGTCTTATTTATATATTACATAAATGTTATTTATGTTATATAACTATTATATGCTTATCTTTAATTAATCTATCTTTAATTATATCTAGTATAAGAAATAATATTAATATTAATGTATTTTCTATTACTGGCAAAATTATTTATAATATAATTTATTTTATTCATCATTACTATTGTAAAAAATACTTTAAAAAGAATTATTTACTTATTAAAATAAGCATAATCATAATTCCCAATATTATAATATGAGTAAAAAGTTTAGTATATTATAAATATTTGTTTAAATACTAACTTCTTATTTAAAACAAAAAAAAAAAAATATGTAAAAGCAATCAAATATTTCCAACTTATAAAAAATCCTTTAATTGAAAAGTTTAAAGATCTGCAACAAATTATTGATTCCAATTCATATCACTTTTTTAAAGTATTTGAAACTAATTATGAAACTGGAGAACATAAAATTTTTGTAAAAGATCTCAAATAAAGATCGTTAACTGTAAGTATTTCTTTCTATTTGTTATGTTTTGTTATTTTAATTTGATATTAATACTATTTTGATTAAGTTATGCATATTATTATACAATTATATATATTAACAGATATTAACTAATTAAGATCTGAATAAGAAAATATGCACATGTCGAAAAGTGAAAAATCAGGCATCAATCAGTCACCAATCAGGCAATTTGCTAACTTTTGATTCACTGATCAGAAAAGGATGAAATATAGCTTATTGGAATTATTTCAACAAGACGAATCTAATGGTAGTAAAATAGCATTTTTAGGATTATTAGTTAATAAAAAATTAAATAAAATATAAATAATATATTTTATTTTTATATTTTACTTAATTTCTCATCAAGTATTAATACTAGAAATGCGATTTTACTATCATTAGATTCATCTTGTTGAGACGATTCCAATGAGCTATATTTCATCTTTTTCTGATTACTGGATCAAAAGTTAGCAAACTGCCTAATTGGTAACAATATTTAGTAAAAATACCAATCAGTCACCAATTAGTTACCAATTAGTTACCAATCAGCTACTTGATTGGTAACTGATTGGTAACTGATTGATGCCTGATTTTTCACTTTTTGACCTGTGATGTGAATGAATGATTGAACCTAATGATTTTAATGAAAATGAAATTTCAGTGCTTTTATTAGTACAATCTTGGATTTGTACTATATACAAGAGCCATTTAAGAGATGCAGTTTTTAAGGCCTATAATTTAAATAATAAAACCAGCAATTAGAACAACAGGATGAATTGGAAGATCTGAAATAACCAAATACATATAATGTGACTAATATTTTGACTAATTTATTAAAAATATATGAAGATGATAATGAATATGATGCAAATATTGGAAAGGAAGGAAAAGAGAAGAAAGGAGAAGAGGAGGTAGTAGTAAAGGAGGTGAAGAAAAGGTGGAAGAAGTTTTATTAACTAGTAACAACAACCAATCTAAGAATCAATATTCTAATAATAATTATTTGAAAATAGATGATTGATTTTTTACATTTAGAATATTTTTTTTAATTAAACTAATAAAATTTAAAATATAATTAATATAATTAGCAAAATTACCAGTGATAACAATTACTGCTAGTGAATTTAATGAACTATTAATAATAATATTAAAAACTATGTAGGTAATTTATATTACATAAATGAATAAAATAGATGATCTTAAACTTGCAGTACTTATAGCTTAAGATAGAAAAGATAGGAAAAATCTTTTATAAATACACTGTTTTTAAGGTTGGTTAATATCTCTGGTAAAATTTAAACTTGTGATTTTTGTTGTAATTTATAATAATATTGCTCTGCCTCATCAATACAAGTAACATTAGATTTAAGTTTATTAATAGTTTCTTGATATTCATCTTCTTCTAAACTATCATAAACTATACCACCACCTATATAATAAAAAAAGAAGTTAAAAGATAAGCTAAAAATGATAATAACAAATTCTTTTTGACATATAACAAACCTGCTTGAAGATATGCAACACCATCTTTAAAGAGCATAGTACGGATTGTTAAACAAGTATCAATTGAATTTGAAAAATCAAAATGACCAATAGCTCCAGCATAAACCCCTCTCTTTTCTTGTTCAAGTTCTGCAATAAGTTCCATTGCCCTAATCTTTGGAGCACCAGAAACAGTACTAGCTGGAAAGATGGATCTAAATGCATCAAATCTATTCTTTTCAGGTCGAAGTTTACCGGATACTTGACTTACAATATGCATTACATGGCTAAATTTTTCAATTTGCATCAATGAATCAACCTTAACAGTCTCTGGTTGGCAAACACGATTGACATCATTTCTTCCAAGATCGACTAACATGATATGTTCTGCTCTTTCCTTTGGATCATTAAGCAATTCCTTAGCAAGCTTTTCATCCTCTAAAATAATCACATGCATACATTAATATTACATTATTGAAATCAACCAAAGAATAATAAATACCTTCTTGTGTTTTTCCACGTTTACGGGTACCAGCAATAGGATGAGTATATACCATATCATTTTCTACTTTTACTAAAAGTTCTGGTGATGCTCCAACGATTTGATAATCTTTGAAATCTAAATAAAACATGTAAGGTGATGGATTGAGTGTACGTAAATGTCGATAAACATTAAAGGGATGTAAATTAGTGGGCCGTGCAAGTCTTTGAGATGGAACAGCCTGAATAATATCTCCATTCTTTATGTGCTTTTTTAACCGTGTTACAAAACCCTCATAACCTATCTTGCCAACATTAGATGTACAGGATTGATTCAAATGGATTTCTCCCTGTGGTACTGATGGTATATGATCCGTTTGCAATAAATTTAATACATGCTGTATTTTCTCAACTGTCTTGCGATATTGATATTCAATAACTTTTGGGTCTGTGGAATTGCTACGATAATGTGATACAACATTTAATAATTGGTAAACGTGATCAAAGATGACCAATGTATCGCAAAGTAAGAAAAAAGAATCTGGTAATCCAAATGGATCATTCAACTCGCGTGCTGTACGTGGTTCAAAGTGTTTTACACAATCATATGCAATATATCCAATCGCTCCACCTGTATTTAAAAATATATAAGAGATATATATATATCAAATTTGTTAAATCTAACTTTAAAGTTAAATACAATAATTACCTGTAAATGAAGGAATTCCGGGAACAGGAACGAATTTGATATTTTTAAATTCTTCCTCTAAAGCAATAAGAGGATCACCTTTGATAGCTTCATTTTCGCCTGTCTTCAGTATTTTGTAAGGATCTAAATTGGGCACAAATAAGATTAATTTAATTTAATGCAAAAAAAAGGTTATTTTATTGTTTGCATTACCTGAACCAAGAAAAGAATAATGCCCTATTTTTTCACCTCCAACTATAGATTCAAATAAAAAAGAAAACTGGCTTTTAGCTGAAATGCGCAAGTAAGCAATTACAGGTGTAAGTAAATCTGCTGGTATTTGGGCACAAATAGGAATTGTGTTTCCTTGGGAAGTTTTGATAATTTCTTGAATTTCTTGAAGCGAAGGTTTTAAGACATACTATTAATAAAAGTCAAAAATTATAAATTATTAATAACATTCAAAAAAAGTTGAACCTTAAAGAACATACCATTCTTGCGAAAAGTCCTAAGGTCTACGACCAAAGCTTAGACTCGTTAATATTTATACAGATTTGATCGTATAATGATAAGCACCCCGAATTGATGGGTTAACCATTATCAAAATCCAAACCCGGATCAACAACATTTGTTACAAAATGGTTTCAGGGCCAAGATGAATTTTGTGTTGAAAAGTAAATTTTGCTAAATAAAATTACTAAGCAGATAATGCCGACCTTTATTTTTCCAGTAAAAAAGGTGGGATAAAATATTCGTTAAATTCTTTAAAATAATCTAAAAGCCGTTAAAATTAGGCATGATTACGGGGTGATCGAATACTATATAATTTATACTCTATTTCTAGTGATAATTAATAAATTAATTAAAATTTGTACGGAGCGTAACACGAATAGATCATGTGACCAGTAACTGATATAATACTAAACCACTTATTTAAACTGATTTGATTAGGTATTCACGTATACTATTAGTCAGGCATGTAAATGCTCCCATGCTTTTATTTGTAATAGTTTTAGTTCTACCACTCTTTTAGTAATAAAATAAATAAATAAGTTTTGATTACCGTAGGTGATTTTTCAGGGGTTCACTTTATAGAGTATTGAGGTTTGTACCGATGTGAAATGCCGGAACACATGAAATAGTATATGAAACTAAATAAAGAGAGAAAAAAAATCCCCGCTACGCGGGAGACAAAGCTATCAGAAAAGCTTTAAGCGCACCTTGGCCCTTGGGTGCCATTTGAGGGGGTGAAGAACCGCAAGCTCAAGCCCCTGTCCCCCACATCTGTCAATATAATAATATAACCAAAAAAACGATAAAATAAGGGATTGAAAAGTATAAACGAGATCAATTTGAAATGAATCTTTATTTGTTTCGTTCATGAGAATATCAAAAAACCATGAATTATTATTAGTATTGTTTTATATAACACGATGATAAAATACGAAAAATATGATTCTTTCAATCGTTTCTTTTTAAATGTCTTGTTGAACTTATTTGTTAATTTCGATAGTGACACATTCTCGAATTCAAACCATTTTTTCTTTGTTTCAATTATCATGCCGAGAAACTTATTCGTGATCAAGGTATTGTTTTTTCTTTTCCTTCAGAGTAAAATTTTTAACCGTAGTGCGACAAAAATGTGCAGTTAATACATTACTATATTTTCGTGTATTTAGCTCCCTTAACTATTCCTCGAACATTTCAAGACCCAACCATGGCTTCTCACATTCTAAAAGTAATGAAAAAACATTTTGATATGCCTGCTCTCGTGATTCATTGTGAATTGGAATAAAATTGAAGCTAAATAGTAAAATCGATTCTCAGGACAGAAACTGATTTGAGCTTTGGAGTATCCTATTATCCTAACTGTATCCGGTTAATTTTAAAACGGATATCCGGATTTAAAATTTGAGAGATGGAGAATCCTATGAATCCTTACGGATAATCCGCTTAATATCTAGATTTAGAATGATCACAAAAAACGACCGGTGCTGAATTGATAATGTCTGCAAAATTTTGAATTGTCCTAAAACATTAGTTAAAAGTACATATTTTTTTTTGTATTTCAATATGTTAAAATTTGAATTTTAATAAAGTTTAATTAAATTTACTACTCTACTTCTAAATTTTTTAATAGCGAAGTGATTAAATATCTATAAATTAAATCAAATGACTCTAATTTCATCCTAGGATAATTTGAATTATTTTATCCGGATCACCATTTTCTAATATCATAGCAAATTTCTCCAACGAATTATCCTAAATTATTAATAGGATAATCCGGTGAAAAGCTCTAGATTGGTCACCGAAAAAAGTATAATCGGATTGGTCAAATCATTTTTTGTAGATCTCTGACTCGCGATAGTAGTATAACAAAGTACAGAAATTTCATTTAGGATATTAAAAATTTGCTGTTTGTCAGAAAAATCTTATACCGAAAGTGCAATGGAAGAATCTCGAAGGTCCAATATCACATACTTCATAGGCCAATCCGCTAGCAGTAGAAAGAGGGGGTACGTGTATCTGAATTTAGAAGAAAATTTCACCTCGTGTTTCGTTCCAGTCTAAAGGAACTACTATACCCACCGAACTATTCAGAATTGCACAATGTTGATCAAGTCACAAGTTACATTTACGGTTTTACCATTTATGTTGTCATTGCTTCGGAATCTCACTTCTTCGTGACTGGATTTGCTAAGGAAGCAAAATCTCTCCAGAGAAGCTAGACGAGTCTTACATTATTTATGAACTGCTAATTTATAAAAAGGTTCGAATAAAAGATTACATCGTTGATTATATATCACTACAATGATTTTTTATGGTTCACGTCATCATCGAAACTAACATAAAAAAAAAATATCTTACTTGTTTGGGGTATTTAGGAATATATGCAGAACTAGGATAAAATGAAAATTATGTTACATTACGTTTTCTACAAAACGGAAGAGAGTTGTTGCCAATCAGCTTCTCTGTGAGTGCAAACCCATAACTCGTAATACTCGCAATATAAATGTTGTTTACTCTTGTTTTACTGCCAATAATGATGGTTGGTATTGTAGATGCGTAATAAGATTAGTGCGTAACAAACACACGTAATTAAAAACGTTATTACGAGAAAGAGAGAAGAATTACGTCCACAGAAAACAGGGGAAAGTTGGCAATGCAAAGATGGTTATTCAATAACGTAGGGATTTGTATCCACTAAAAATTGAATATTTTTCTAATTCCACTAAAGAAATTGGTTATAACGAAGTAATGATTATGTAGTATATGATGTTAGCCTATTATTTGTTTTATTCCGAAGAAAGGATGAAATGGAGGATTGGGTGATGCTATGGAATTTGGTGATGTTGAGGATGACGGAGAAAGAGTAGAAAATAAGATATTTGCCATGAAAGATTATTAGAAGGTCGTTGTTGATAATTATGAATCATTAGAAGGTTGTGATCTATCACGAAATCCATTGTTAAAAGTGTCCATAGTAAATGTAAAGAGAAAATTGTCCTTGATTTATTACCATTTTTATTACGTTTACGACTATTAGCACGTCTCTTGCCTTTATTTTATATGAAAATTCTTTCCTATATTGACCTGGATTAAGCATTCTCCTTCTCGTGCTTGACTGTTTGTGTCTTTTCAGCTTGCTCCGCTTTAGCTTTATCCAGCCAACTCCCGCAACTTTTCTTCTCCGTCCAATCTACTCTCCCGTCCTTTTTGTGCCATAAATCTTATTCTTACAATATCTTTTATATTCTTTTAATTTCTTTAGTTTTTCTAGCTGTCAAGCTAAAACACGTATGGGAGGTACAATCAAAAATAATGCTGTACAAGATTGCTATAAATTCCGGTACAGAATTCATTCACATCAAGCCAATGAAGAAGTACGGTTGCATGAATACAAATAGCTCAAGGTGATGCACGAGATGTATCATCTGATATCATCGAATATTTTAGATCCATCGTAGGCATAGGTAAATTTCTACTATGAAAAAGAATAAGTACTATCCGAAATAAATTATGCGTTTCACCTTTGCACGTGTACCTAATTAGATCATTATGTTTGCAAGATAAAAATCAAATCATTTCATACCTGTGCAAAAATACGCAATTAATTAATATGAAGATCCCATGCAATGTATACCTCGTTTCATCGATCTGATGGTATTGGAAGATAAGTTGCTTCATCAAAGGCACTAGAACGAACATAACGTGCTGATAATCAACTAAAATATAAAATGTAATTATTTTACATTTCTAGATTTTTGATTTCTAAATATATACCAAGTTAGGATATTTACTTCAATAAAACATCCTTCATCATCCATTTTAATTTTTTGTTGATTCTTGATTTTACGATGTAATCCCAATTCAAATGTCACAAATAAAATCATTTGCATATTTTTTTTTATTAAATGCGTTAAGTTTTCACCTAAAAATTTTATTAAATTACATACTACTGAATTTAAATTTCTTCATAATTCTTAATTATAATTGGTTCTGTTCGTTATTTAATTAAAAGTCAAGTTAAGCAGGGTACAATTTATTTATTGTTCGAAAACTTCGAAATGTGAAAAAATATATATATAATAATTATAATTAATCCATTGATTTTTAATGTATTTAATTTAATACTTCTAGGGAATTAGGGCATAAATTTTTTTTTTTTTTTTTGATTATTCATAATCTTTCATCTTACTGATGTATTTATTGGTTTAATTTCATACCAATAATCTTCAATAGTTTCACATTTAACCAAAAAATTAAATTTTTTTTACTTATTGAAGATCATCTTTTAGTAAACAATGTGAAGGCCACATGGAATCCATGCGACATAATAATCTACGATTTATTTACATCAGGTATCACATTATAATACGAGTTTTGTAGATCTATACATCCTTCTAAACCGAAAATATCTTCCAAGTGGTTGTTGGTGAAGTCTCGTTTGCATTAAGTAATAATTCAAACGTATGACTATAACGCATTTTAGTAATCCAATTTACACCAATAGATCTTGATACAATCCAGTATTATTATTATGATGGCAGTAAAATAATGAAAATATTCATTCTAAAATATCAATGATCCATATTTCCATATTTACATATTTACATAAGTGCTTTTACTTTTTTTTTGTCACACCAAAAAAAAAATTGGCAAACCTGACATTCAACAAGAATTTAATTGAATTTTCAATAAAAAATGAAAGGGCGTGATACCACTGTGATTCGGTGTCAAACTTTATTTAAAGTAAACTAATATAATTTATAGTGGAATTTTGGTAATTTATTGATGAGTCGATGATGCCATGTTTATAAGTTACACAACATTTTAACTGACTGTATAACAAACAAAATAATATAAAATTGTTTGAAATCCTTTTTTTTTCAATCTCTATTCTTTTCGTTATTCATTTATTTATATTATTTATTATTATTCTCGATACAATATTAGCCTCTAGTTTGTTTTTATCGGTCATTCCTTTCTTTATAATAATATTTTCTCTTAAAATACTCGAAATAACGATTAATATTTATATTGTCTCTTTTATTGAAATTGAAGATTGAAGTAAAAAATAATTATGGCGGCTGAAGAAGAATTGATTAATATAGCAAAGGAAATGTTAAATGATGATCCAAAAACCGTTCGGCTATGCTCTAAAGGTATGAAAGAGTTACCAGTGGAATGCATCAATTTCATTGCAAAAGATTATAAGCTTGAAAGGTAAGTAGTTATATTAAAAAATCTTTTTATTTAATTATTGGCATTTTTTTATATTTAAGAAAAAGATTTTTTGCTTAAAAAAAAAACAATTGATTTTTAGATTTGGACTTGAACAAAATCAATTAACTACACTTCCAATGGAAATTTGTAAATTAACACATTTAAGTTACTTGAACATATCTTCTAATGCATTCAAGGAATTTCCTGAGGCGGTTGGGACAATATTTATTTATGTTTTTTTTTATTTTCTTTTTAATTCATCCCTAATTTATTATTATTTTTTTTTAAAAAAACTATAATAGTTATGTTCAATGAACAATTTAGAAATATTAGATATAAGTAGAAATAAAATTCGTAAGATGCCAGATGATTTTGGTACATTAATCTCGTTAAAGGTAAAAATAACTTTTTAATGCTACTTATTCAATACTTCTTCGTCATAAATGTAAGAAGATGTGAATATTAAATTTAATTAATTACAATTTTATTTATTTGATAGGGATTAAAAATATCGAAAAATAAAATAGAACAAATACCATTATATATAGCAGAAATGAAAGATTTGCAATATTTAAAATTGGATGGTAATCAAAAACTTCGTTTTCCACCTAAGTCTGTTTGTAATATGCCAAAGGCAGGAGAAGGAGAAGAAAAAGTAGTTATGTTATCTTGGTTGGAGAATTTAAAAGAATATTTAAGAAAACATTCAAATAATTTTTCATGTAATTAATCTTAAAATTTTTTTTATTAATTTACATTATTAATTTTATTTTGACAATAATTTGTTCTTTATTATAGTTAATAGAGAAGTTGAGATGGAGGAGAGTGATCATTCAAGGTATGTTGGTTAAGTATACTTAGTGACTGATGCGGTGAATTAATTTCCTAACCTTAAACATTATTTTTTATGATAAATTAGCGGAGAAGAAGATCCTGCTTTACATAATAATAAAATGTTAAAAAAGTCAGTGTCGTCAGAAAGTATGAGTTATTTGATGAGCACAAGAATGAATGCAGGAGGCAACTTAGATAGTTCAAATTCATCATTAAAAACCATATCGGAGGATGAAAATTTATCAAATAAGAAATCGCATGAAAGAAAAAGGCCTACACCAAAATTAAGTATAGATTTACCATCCATGAGAAGAGACCGAAGTTATTCGAACGATTTTGATTCAACTATACTAAATAATGTTCAAAAGAATTTAACAAGACATTCAAAAAGTTTTTCAACGGATTCAATAAGTTCATCATCAACAAATGGTAATAATGGAAATAATTTATCTCAATATCAACAATATCACGGAGGATATTATAACCATTATCATAATAATCAAAATTACTATATTTTGGAAGAAAGGGAAAGTGAAAATTATTTTTTAAAATTAAAAAATATGTCACCTTCAGAACATTTACCGATGAGTGATACATCATTAAGAGAAGCATCAAGAAACATACTTTATGCATTTTCACAAATACATAAAGCACTAAGACAATTTGCAAATTTTACAGGAAATGAAAAAATATTTTATAATGAATTAAATAAGGCTACAACGACAATTGGACAATTAAGCAATACATTAAGTAGATTTGATATGGTGGCATTACAATCTGCACCTGAATCTGAATTATGCGGGAAATTATTAAATTCTTGTCAAGAAAATATATTATGTTTTAAACAATTAATTGATTTATTAAATAAAAGATTGAAAGGAATAATAGCTCAATCAACTGATAATATGAGGTATAGCAGGACATTATTAATAATGTTAAATGGTAGTATAGCCGACATTAAATTTGCATGGGAAAATATACATCCTTTATTAAATGATTATACTCCTTATACTGGTATGTCGACACCATTTCGTAGTAGATCAATGTCAAGATCAAATAGTACTGGTGGCAATAATGTTATGATTTCCGCAAGCGCAAATAGTAGTAGTAGCAATTTAGGTGGTAACGGAGGTGGATTGGCAACTCCACTTTATTCAGCTGGTTTAAATTCAAATGGTTCTATATCACCATATAGTTTAAATACACCAAGTACAGGTGGTTTACCTTCATCTCCCTATTCACCTTATCCTTCTTCAAATAATAGTGAGAATAGTACAAATGATTTAGTATCTAATGGTGGAAGCGGAATGGAGAGAACTTTAAGTAATAGTCCTTTACCTGATATAAGATTTTCTGTAAATGTATTTGATCAATTAATCTCAAAAGTTGATGTTTCTATCAAAAATGTTGAAAATGTTGTAAAAAATTTATCTGAAAATTTAGATAAAATTATGAATTCAACAAATTCTGATTCTTTAGGAGGAGGAAATAATGGTATTGGTGGTGATGATGAATCTTCTTTACCTTCTTTAAGTAAAATTAGAGAATTAAAGAATTTAGTGAAAAATACTATAGATGTTACAAAAAAGTTAAAGAAAAGTTTATTAATTCCTAAATTAAATGCAAATAAAAAAGAAGATTTAAGTGTACAACTTAGAGTTCATGGTGATTCAATTGTCTTCTTACAGGTAAGGAAAATTCATCAGTTTTTTTGATTTTATTTATTTATTTATTCATCTTTTTTCTTTCTTTTTTTTCCTTGTCTAGACAACAGTAAAAATGTCAAGTTTAGCTAAAGAAGTTTCATTAGAATTTCCTTTACCTAATAAAGTGATGTCAGGTTTAGGTCATGTAACAAAAACAAATATTGATTTAACGAATTTTCTTAGAGTAATAGAAAATAACCCAACAAATATTTCCTCACCTTCACAATCTTCTTCATTTATATCTAATGCTCCTATATTTAGTTCTCCAAATCAGTCTCCTCCTCATACCACTAATCATAGTAAAAATAATAGTATTAATGAAATTGATGATGATGTTAAACCTTTTATGATTGTTACTGATGATAATGGTGGTGGTAAAGAAATCGTTATTGATAATAATGATTCAGCTTTAGAAATTGAAGTTACTAAAGCTTATAATGATAATGAAATTAAGGATTCTAATATTAATAAATTTGAACAATAATTTTAAGAGAAATGGGGAAATATTTTTTAAGAATTCTAATAACATTTATATGTTATGTAAAAAAAAAAAAAAAATATTTTTTTTTGCTTCTACTTTTTTAAAGCCGGTTGGCATTTGAGATTTAGAAATATGGTTAAAAATTTATGGTTTAAATTAAATTATGCTTTTAAAATTCAATATTTACCGGCATAAAAAAAAAGTTTTATATAATCTAAATAGCAATTATATTTTGTAAATTTATAATAAAAAAATTAAGATTTATTCTGTGATTGATATTTATTTATAATAATAATAGATATTAAAATAAAAGGTTCTTTTTTTTTACTAATCAATAATAAAAAAAATTTGTACAAATCTTAATTAATAATAATTATGTTATCGTAAATTATAATTTTGTATAATAAATAGTCTGTGAAAAGTTATATATATAAATCTATTCATATAAACAAGTTAAACAAATTTAAATACTATTCCATTACACAAAAAACATATTATGGAAAACAACCCACCACTAAAATAATATAAATTAAAAATAACCATCTCTTTCCCCATCGTGTGGTTTAACGGGTGGGGATTTAATAGGAGGTGATTTAATTCCATCACTGAATCCTTTTTGATCATTTCCAAACCTTAATAAAGGTTGAAAATTATTTTGTCTTAATGGCTGATTTTGTTGATTTTGTCTTAATGTTTTGTTACGTTGCAATGCTTTGCTTCCACCTCCTTCTGCATTACGATCTAATAAAGAACCTTTGTGAAATTTAACATCACCCTCTAAACTTAATAAAGGTCCATTATTTGAATCTCTTATAATTCCAACTCCTCCCATTGCTCTTTTGACCTTTTCTCTTTCTTTTGCTTGTTCAAATACCGTTCCATTTGATAATAATGAACCTTTTACGAATGTAACCTGCTCTGGTTCTACTGGTTTAACTGGAGGATTCTTCTCATCATAGTCCAATAATGATCCGCCTTTAAATACACCATCATTAGAAGGTGCGTTTGTTTTAGAATGATGAAAAGAATTCATCTTCCTAATCGCTTTCTTTTTAGAATCTTCAAATGAAGATTTTTTCTTAATATTTTCAGCAGGTAGTGAAATTGTTCCAGGCGGATTATCAAGTAAAGAACCTGTCGATGAACTACGTACATGTCGACGCGATGTGTCTGTTGATGATTGTTTAGTTGTACTAAATGATGCTAATTCAAATGTAATTTCATTCATTAATGAAGTTGTCTCTGATACGGTTGCAGGTAATGCATTTGTTAATGGGATAGAGAGATTAATTGGTGCATTTGGTTTCTCATTCTTAACAGGAATATCAATAAATAATTCTGGACTGGTTTCACGCATTATTTTGTTCTAAAAATGAAATTTGAATTACGTCATTATTAAATAATTAATAAATTTTTCAAAGAAATTATAACTTACTTTAGCCATTCTGACAGCAATGATCCATTCATTCATTTTTTCTAGATGATCCGCACATAGATAGTGCATATAATCATTCTCAGGATTTTCAAACATTGTAATTTTATCTTGCGATTTTATTGCAAAAACAAAGTTTGTCGGAAATGTTTTAAAAGTTTTCATGCATACATACACATCAAAACTGACCATAGAACAAAGGAAGGTTTCATTGGTTCCCTATATAAAAAATAAAAAAATTAATCGAGGGATGATTATAAACTTGTATATATAAAAACAAAATACCTTATAATCTTTGCTATGATATAGAGATCCGTCCTTTATTTGGACAAATCGCTTTTGCCACTTGTTTTTTTTAATATCTAATATATATAATGCTCCAGATACCAGAGGCGTACGTTCATTAAATCCCTGTAAAATAAGAAGTTAATACTTGAGGAATTAATGAAAAAATTATTTATGTTTTTATAATTTAGCAACTTACCGCAAGTGTTAAAGCATTTCTATGTGCATATTTTCTCAAAACAAGAGAATTCTTTTTACCCAATTCCCACGTTCCAATAACCCATGCCACAGATTCCCAATCTCTTAATGGCCGTTCTGTAAAAGAAAAACATGAATATATTCTATATATAAATATAAATATCACCAAGATAAGCATTTAATGGATGATAATCTTACCCAAATTATATTCTTCTACCACTTCAAATATTGTCCAAGCACCAGCATCAGAAATAGTATTGTTGCTTCTAAATATATTCATAACCTCAAGAGCAGTCATCTCAGGAGTCAATGTAATTGACTTGTATTCTTTGCTTTCTTCAATGAAAAATTGCGTTGTTATCTAAAATAATATAATACAAAAATTTTCAGCAACACGGTTACTCATAATGTGAGCATTCTTATTTAAATCTATTCATCAAATACCTTTCCTGAAGAACTCTTTGGTTCATCTTTTTCTATATGTGGTTCATCATTCTTTTGCTAAAAGATTAAAATATCTATTAATTATAATTTTTATCAAAAATTACTTCATTAACGAAATAACGTACCTTATTACTGATTTGATTTATTAATAGTTTAGGGTCATTTTCTAATTCAAATTTAGATCTTGCACCGCGTTTTTTATCCGTATTTATTTTGTCTACATTTTCATTTCCACTACGCATAGATTGATTCTGTGATCTTTCCATCAATTTCTCATATTCCTTATCTCTTAACGAATCCTTATTTACATCCGTCGACCGACCTTCCAAAGATTTTGATCTAGTTCTCACCATAGTGGTACTCTTTTCTTTCGTTCTGTGTGATCGTCTATTTTGCGACTCATTATCGTTAAAATATCCGCTAGTTAAAGATTTAGCTCTTACTAAACTATCCTTTTTATCGTCATAATTCTTACGTGATGATTTATTATACAGTGATTGTTCATTATTGAGATCAGGATCATAATTATTACGATGCTTTCTATCATTATCAAACTTTGTACGTTCTTTTACATCATGATCATCTCTATCCTTATATGCCCTATGTCTATTATTTTTTTGATTATCTCTATACTCATCAGAGGATTTTTCCTTAGATTTTTGAACTGTTTCAATAGATGTTTCTCGTTCCTTTTCACCATTTCGAGAAGATTTTGTATTAGATGAGGATTGTCCCTGTTGAATCTCTCTTGATGGATTTATTTTATCAACTAAATATTCTTTCTGTTTTTCATTTCTTGATCTCAATTTTTTATCTCTATCATCTCGTGATGACAAAGTATTACTATCTTGAGTAAGTTGTTTAGTAGATGAAGAATTATTATGATTTCCTTTATTTTTATTTAATAATTTCTTTTGAGATAATTCCCGTGATAAACTTACACCAGCAGCAGTAAAGCTAGTTGGTGAAGTTATTGACCCAAGTGATTGTTGTTGGATAGGAGATTGCATGACAGGTGATTGTACGGATTTAGATTTTACATTAGACTTATTTGAGGAAGTAACATTTGTTGAAATAGGAGACAAATCAGTTGTAGACTTTTTATTTCTCAATAAGTTAGGTGGTCGAGTTGGTATGTAAATATCAGCAGTATCACTATTACTATCTATATCATCATTATCACTTTCATCATCACTTAAACTATCTTCACTATCACTTTCACTATCGGATGAACTTGAAGTCGTATCATCATCATCACCGCTACCAGAACTTAAAGTTGATACTGAAGGAATACGTGAATGACCTCCACCATTAACTCCACGTATAGGAGAAAGTACTTTATTTGGTGACATGATTCTACTATTAGGATTACTATTATTTGGTGAGATAATTCTACTGTTAGGATTACTATTATTTGGTGAAATAATTCTACTGTTAGGATTACTATTATTATTTATTCTCTTAGATAAATCATCATCACTATCAGATTCACTACTATCATCAGAAGTTGTGTTTTCATTTTCATCATCATAATCATCTTCACTATTACTACTAGCCATAGCGGAAAGTGTAGGAGGGGAACGTACGGGTGAAACTATTTTGTTTCTTGTTGATGATTTATGACGTGAAGTATTATTAATATTATTAGCTTTAGAAGATAATATAGCCGCTGGTAAAGAACCAATATCATTATTTAATTTGAATTGTTGATTATGACCATTTTTATTATTAGTTCGATTTGATTTATTATTTCGACGTGAATTTGATGATGATTGAGGTGGGGAGGTAGGACGAGAATCATTTGCAGGAGATTTAGATGATCGACCAAGTTTTAAAGAAGATCCAAGTTTCGTTAATTCTGATTTTATTGAAACAAATGATGAATCTCCAATTGAAGATTTTGAATACTTCACGGATGAATGGGAATTGTTAGAATAGTCGCGTGAAATTTTTTTTTTTAAAAAAAAAGAAAAATAAGTGTAAATCCAAAAAAAAAAATGAAAAAAACATGATTATATATGAACTTTACACTTACTGTAGATGATTCTTTATTCATATTTAATTATTTATGAGTGATATCAATGTTTAATGACTTGCAATAAACAACCGTTTTAAGTATCAAAAAAAAAAAAAAGTACCAGCACCAAACCCAGTTTGAAGTGACCTTTTTTTTTGTAAATAAGAAAAATAAAGATAAAGGTTCTGGAAAATTCAATTTCTTGAACTAAATAGAGAATAATAGAGAATTAACGGATTGAATGAAATTCATCATTTTTTTTAAAGAAAAACAAAAAAAATTAAATAAATCCCTACCTTAAAAAAAAAAATAAAAAAAAAATAAGAAAAAAAAATAAAAATTAAAAATAAATAAAATAAAAAGAATTAAGTTCAATCAAAAGATTTATTATTAGTAGAAATATATTATTTGTTTGTTATTTTTTTATGCAAAAATTCTTTATATTAATAAAGTGTACGAATATTTTTATACAACTATGCA